AATAAACCTACCATTAAAATTATAGACTGATCATGTGTTTGTCAGTGGGCAAACGTACAAAATCAGCAGGGGATCAAATACTTTTTTCCCTCACTATATGTCTTCCCTGTCAAAACAAAGGTTAAATAGGCTTGCCATAACAAAGGGGTTAAATACTTATTGACTCAAGACATTTCAGCTTTTCATTTTTTATTAATTTGTAAAATATTCTAGAAACATTATTCCACAGTATTGTATGTAGGCCAGTGACACATTTCAATTGAATCAATTTTAAATTCAGGCTGTAACACACCAAAATGTGGAAAATGTCAAGGGGTGTGAATACTTTCTGAAGGAACTGTACCCCTTTAAAGCCTTTAAAATTGATAATGTGTTCTTTGTTTAAGTCTTAAGTTACTAATTTGTTAAACAGATCGATATGCTTCAAATAAGTGTCTGTGAAAAGTTTCAAGGGTAACTAGAACTGCTCTCCTAAGAGCAGAATACTTATATTTTGTGACACCCTTTATACAAACAATTTGTTTGCATGATTTGGCTGGTTCAACAAAATGTGGATACTCACTGCGCAGTGGGATGCCCAGGAGAAGACTCCTTCGGTTGCATATAACCAGAATATTAACCTCCAATACTGCGTAAAGTATGAGAACCTGCAGTGTGGTTGCTTTATTTGCAATTTATTGAATTGGGGCCTAAGCGTCACCAGACACCAATCAAAATGATCCAAGGAAGGGTGCATTTTAAAAGGAAGTAGACATCCCGTCAGGAACTGTTCTACAGTCAGACATATACACTACCGTTCAAAAGTCTGGGGTCACTTAGAAATGTCCTTGTTTTCGAAAGAAAAGCAATTTTTTAATCCATTAAAATAACATCAAATTGATCAGAAATACAGTGTAGACATTGTTAATGTTGTAAATGGCTATTGTAGCTGGAAATGGCTGATTTTTAATGGAATATCTACATAGGTGTACAGAGGCCCATTATCAGCAACCATCAGTCCTGTGTTCCAATGGCATGTTGTGTTTGCTAATCCAAGTTTATCATTTTAAAAGGCTAATTGATCATTAGAAAACCCTTTTGCAATTATGTTAGCACAGCTGAAAATTGTTGTGCTGATTAAAGAAGCAATAAAACTGACCTTCTTGAGACTAGTTGAGTATCTGGAGCATCAGCAATTATGGGTTCGATTACAGGCTCAAAATGGCCAGAAACAAATACATTTCTTCTGAAACTCGTCAGTCTTTTCTTGTTCTGAGAAATGAAGGCTATTCCATGCGAGAAATTGCCAAGAAACTGAAGATCTCGTACAACGCTGTGTACTACTCCCTTCACAGAACAGCGCAAACTGTCTCTAACCAGAATAGAAAGAGGAGTGGGATGCCCCGGTGCACAACTGAGCAAGAGGACAAATACATTAGTGTCTAGTTTGAGAAACAGGCGCCTCACAGGTCCTCAACTGACAGCTTCCTTAAATAGTACCCGCAAAACACCAGTCTCAACGTCAACAGTGAAGAGGCGACTCCGGGATGCTGACGTTCTAGGCAGAGTTGCAAAGAAAAAGCCATATCTCAGACTGGCCAATAAAAAGAAAAGTTTAAGATGGGCAGTCTGAGATATGGCTTTTTCTTTGCAACTCTGCCTAGAACGTCAGCATCCCGGAGTCGCCTCTTCACTGTTGACGTTGAGACTGGTGTTTTGCGGGTACTATTTAAGGAAGCTGTCAGTTGAGGACCTGTGAGGCGCCTGTTTCTCAAACTAGACACTAATGTATTTGTCCTCTTGCTCAGTTGTGCACCGGGGCATCCCACTCCTCTTTCTATTCTGGTTAGAGACAGTTTGTGCTGTTCTGTGAAGGGAGTAGTACACAGCGTTGTACGAGATCTTCAGTTTCTTGGCAATTTCTCGCATTAAACTTTTATTTTTATTGGCCAGTCTGAGATATGGCTTTTTCTTTGCAACTCTGCCTAGAAGGTCAGCATCCCGGAGTCGCCTCTTCACTGCATTTCTGATGAATTTGATGTTATTTTAATGGATATTTTTTTGTGCTTTTCTTTCAAAAACAAGGACATTTCTAAGTGAGCCAAAACTTTTGAACGGTAGTATATATATATTTCACTCAACCAATACTCTTCCCATACAAGATGACAGCCTTCCAATGTCAAGTCCCCTATACCTCTAACAACGATGTTGTTTATTTGTGTGCTGAGAGAATACATAATCCCAAGGGCCTTGTTAGTCATTGATGTCAGCAAAGGAGAGGACAACACACACACAAAAGGCTGATAAAATAGGGTTTTATTAAATCAAATCAAAACACATTTTATTTGTCACATACAAGTGTTTAGCAGATGTTATTGGGGGTGTAGCGAAATGCTTGTGCTTCTAGCTCCGACAGTGCAGTAATATCTAACAAGTAACATCTAACAATTTCACAACATATACCCAATACACACAAATCTAAGTAACGAATGGAATTTAAGAATATATACATATATGGACAAGCAATGACAGAGTGGCATGGACTAAGATACAGTAGAATGTTATAGAATACAGTATATAAATATGAGATGAGTAGTGCAAGATATGGAAACATTATTAAAGTGACTAGTGTTCCATTTCTTAAAGTGGCCAGTGAATTCAATAGGCAGCAGCAGCCTCTAATGTGCTAGTGATGGCTATTTAACAGTCTGATGGCCTTGAGGCCTGTTTTACATTCTCTCGGTCCCAGCTTTGATACACCTGTACTGATCTCGCGTTCTGGATGATAGCGGGGTGAACAGACAGTGGCTCGGGTGGTTGATGTCCTTGATGATCTTTTTGACCTTCCTGTGACATCGGGTGCTGTAGGTGTCCTGGAGGGCGGGTAGTTTGCCCCCGGTAATGCGTTCGGCCCTGCGGTTGCGGGCGGTGTAGTTGCCGTACCAGGCGGTGATACAGCCCAACAGGATGCTCTCAATTGTGCATCTGTAAAAGTTTGTGAGGGTTTTAGGTGCCAAGACAAATTTCTTCAGCCTCCTGAGGTTGAAGAGGCTCTGTTGCGCCTTCTTCACCACACTGTCTGCATGGGTGGACCATTTCAGTTGTATTACTTTGTCCTTTTTACATTGCATAATAAAGAAACCAGTTTGTAAAAAGTGCTGCCCTTGGAAAGTATAAAAACACACATACCGGACAGCACTGTGGGTCTAAGGTGAAGCTGGGAAAGAGAAATCAGAAGCCCCGTTTACACCTGGTACTAACATGTGTCAATCTGCCAGTGTTGCCACATTTATGACATGTTGACGATTAAAGACGCTGTATCCATTGGACAGATCTCCTGACACCTCTGTTCAGACCATTGTATCTGTTTCAATAGTGTAACATCTGGATGTTCAAACCATTTAAATCATTATTATACCGGTCTCTAAATTCACTGACAGGTAGCACCATTGACTTATGGCATCAATAATGGTCTTAAATTAAATACATTCATATTATTTTGAAAGGATAAAATCGGTCAAATAATCTGCACAGGGAAGCACCAGGAAATCTGGTCACAATGCGGACACAGTGGACGGATAAGAGAGACATTTTAATACCATGTGAATGGCATAGGTGCACCTTAATTTCGGGAGGATGGTTGGAACTGAATAAATGGAATGGTATCGAAAACATGGTTTCTATGTGTTTGATACCATTCCATTCACTCCATTCCAGCCAATATTATGAGCCGTCCTCCCTTCAGCAGGCTCCTGTGGTGTATACGCGACAAACCTTGTTCAACTCATGATTGGATCACATTGAGGTGTAAACGAGGCTTGAGATGCTTAAACAGTTATCCACACATTGCCCCAGGATGAATGAGGAGAGTGAATCGGTATAATATTGATTTAAAAAATAATTAGTTCTGCAAAGTTCATTTGAAGTTTGTTCTTAAAAGAAAAAATAAGAATATTAACAAAGCATCTTCTCTTCCATGATAGAAAATTAAGATTTGTTATTGCCTTTAATTCCGGTAGTGTGCGAAGACTTCACACCATCACATGTAGCCTTTCCCTAAGGCACATGGGCCAAATAGTGACAAAGTAAATAAACACACACAGGGTGCCAACTGCACTGGTAATTGTTCATATGACAAAATTACCTTATTTATAAAACAAAATTAAAAGGTATATCTTTGGCATTTTTATGCTTCATTTAAAATGGGAGAGACGGTGGGAAAGATAGTTTTTGCTGAAATAGCAGTGGGCCGGATTCAAACCACGCTGCTGTGGTATATGTGATTTGGAGGCAGCGGTTTAGACCGCTAGACCACCATAGGCCACAACAATATTATTTCTGAGAACATAATGCATTCCCAACCACAAGGAAAACAGATGTGAATTATGAAGCACTTTTATCATATAATTGTAACTTTTTTTATTTGTAGTAGTAAACAATAAGCATTACAGTAATTCAATATTACAGTTCTTGTTCTTATAGAACATATCGCAAATGGAAATCCCAATTGCACTGCAACATGGTGCCAAAACAGAAAATGTAAACACATGGTTTATAACTATTGACAGCCTGAAATTGTTGCTTTAAATTACCAAGCCCTGTGAAGCAGGTCCTGTGGATAGGTTGTGTGGATGTGAATGTATTGATTGTGTTGTGATGATTTGGGTGTGAAGTACTTTGGGGTATTCCAGAAAGCAGCTTTGATAAACAATCAGATATACTGTATCTCTTGATTTTTTTTGGTTCAGTTGGAAAACAAAATCAAAATTTGGCAATTACATCATTCCAATTTCAACTATATTTCTCTGATTTTTGGAACAACCCCTGGTCTAGTCTATCATCAAATAATAATAATACATTTCATCACCCCAAAAAAATATTTTGATCCATTCAATATTCTCTTCCCTTTATAGAGAAGACAGAAAAAGGAGAAAGCGCTATAAAAATGTATGCTAGCTCAGTGTAATAATGCCTCATAAAAGGCATTATGAGGGCTGGTAACGCTAAGGTAACATTAACACTAAGCCCTCACTAAATGGTTTATAAGGACCTATATTAACCATCTTATGAATCATAAATACGTCGGTTTAAAAATATTTTTGTATAAATGTGTGAATAACTAGGTTACTAACATCTACAAATGTGGGAGTAATGATTCATAAATGGTGAGCAAACTGTTTGTAAATGCCTTATGACAAACCCAGCAGGACAAAATGTGTTGAAATTGTATTTAATTGTAACCAGTTTTGCCAGCTCTGAAGTAGTGTTACGGAGTGCTTATGAATGTATTATGTAAACCTTATTCAGAGCCCCCTTGAGCCCCCTTATTCAGAGCCCCCCCATCCAAGTCTCTAGACTTTTGAACGACAGTCCACAAAGCCCCAACAAAATGCTTCCCCCATATATTCCCCCATATAGTTAATGCAATTAAGATGGTCTTCCTCCCTCAACTGTTATACCATATATCTATTCCAGAATATCCCTTTATTTCTGACGAAGTCCTTTTATAATTAACTGGACTCGATTATAAACCTATTTATTTGGGAATACAAAGCACATAGGATAAGTAATAAAAACCATTGTAAATCTACATTGGAAGGAGGATTGGCTCTTCCAAACTTTATATGTTACTATTGGAGTGCAAATATCCGCTCTGTCACGTTTTGGCTCAATGACGCTGCTGTGTCGTCCTGCTGGCTTGATATGGAGTGCGAGAACTGCTACCTCTACTCAATTGGTGCAGTGATTATGTCCCCTGTGATAAATTATTTGTTACTGTTATCGTTTGTGATAAAAAGGAGCTCTCAAAAGGATTTGTACATTTGTATAATTGAATCTTCGTTTCAAAATAAAACATATTTGAAACACAAAGTCCCAACGAGAGGGAAGAGCTACAGGCTTGTTAAGTTAGAAGGCATGAGCAAGCGTCACGGTAACCGAGCCGTTTTCTGGGTGTGGAGCCTATCTGGAGAGGTTGCATGAAGGAGGCGGCTTTCATCATACAAGCCCCGCCCCCTGCCAGGCAGCAGTAAACCCAGACACTCAGGGTGATGAAGGGGCTGGCCTCTGTCGCCTTGGGAACCGTTGGAAGTATGGTAGGGATGGAGAGGGGCTGGGAAAGATCTTGGATGTGCCCGGTCACCACCTGGCTCCCTACCAACCACTCGTTACCTGTACAACACAGGAAATAGTTAGGCAATATCCTATTTAATGCAAAACATACAGTCAACTCATCATAGAATAATATCCTCACAACCAAATTTCTAATTACATCCACTTAAAATGGATAACAGGCAAACATTTCAATCTACTAGGACAATCTCTTAACATAACATAAATTGTAGTAGTATCTGTCGACAGACTGGGATGCGACGACAATTTTTCGTCACTAATAATTTGGACAAATCACGAATCACCAGTCATGCTTCTAAAATGCGCCACCACATTTAAACAAATCCACCCTCAATCTGCCTGTTAGTGTCAAAAGACTGTCGTTGACTCACTGTTTGAGATGGCTTGTCAATCAAATTGAAAGACTGCATTTAAAAAGCCCTACCACCCACTTATATTCCCTCAGAGAGAGTGAGAAACAAAGACAGAGAGAGACAGAGTGACAGACACAGAGATAAAGAGAGCTGCCTGACTTGCTGGCTGGCTCTGCTGAGTAATATCATACGGGAAATGTGGTGGGCTGTTACTCTATAGGGCTGAGTCACAAAAATAACTAAACATCCATTCCTTCTTTGCACTGAACGCTCACTGACTATGGCTGCATCCCAATTGACATTACTTTTGACCAGGGTCCATAGGGCTTTACATAAGTATTCAGACCTTTTGCTATGAGACTCTAAATTGATCTCAGGTGCATCCTGTTTCCATTGATCATCCTTGAGATGTTTCTACAACTTGATTGGAGTCCACCTGTGGTAAATTCAATTGATTGGACATGATTTGGAAAGGCACACACCTGTCTATATAAGGTCCCACCGTTGACAGTGCATGTCAGAGCAAAAACCAAGCCATGAGGTCGAAGGAATTGTCCGTAGAGCTCCAAGACAGGATTGTGTCGAGGCACAGATCAGGGAAAGGGTACCAAAACAATTCTGCAGCATTGAAGGTCCTCAAGAATGCAGTGGCCTCAATCATTCTTAAATTGAAGAAGTTTTGAACCACCAAGACTCTTCCTAGAGCTGGCCGCCCAGCCAAACTGAGCAATCGGGGGAGAAGGGCCTTGATCAGGGAGGTGACCAAAAACCAGATGGTCATACTGACAGAGCTCCAGAGTTCCTCTGTGGAAATGGGAGAACCTTCCAGAAGGACAACCATCTCTGCAGCACTCTACCAATCAAGCCTTTATGGTAGAGTGGCCAGATGCAAGCCACTCCTCAGTAAAAGCCCGCTTGGAGTTTCCCAAAAGGCACCTAAAGGACTCAGACCATGAGAAACAAGATTCTCTGGTCTGATGAAACCAAGATTGAACTCTTTGGCCTGAATGCCAACCGCATTCATGGCCCGAATGCCAAGCGTCACGTCTGGAGGAAACCTGGCACCATCCCTACGGTGAAGCATGAGGGTGGCAGCATCATGCTGTGGGGATGTTTTTCAGTGGCAGGGAGACTAGTCAGGATCGAGGGAAAGATGAACGGAGCAAAGTAGAGAGAGATCCTTGATTAAAACCTGCTCCAGAGTGCTCAGGACCTCAGACTGGGGCAAAGGTTCACCTTCCAACAGGACAACGACCCTAAGCACACAGCCAAGACAACACAGGAGTGGCTTTGGGACAATTCTCTGAATGTCCTTGAGTGGCCCAGCCAGAGCTGTTCTTGTACCTGATCGAACATCTCTGGAGAGACCTGAAAATAGTTGTGCAGCGACGCTCCCCATCCAACCTGACAGAGCTTGAGAGGATCTGTAGAGAAGAATGGGGAAACTCCCCAAATACAGGTGTGCCAAGCTTGTAGCGTCATACACAAGAAGACTCTAGGCTGTAATCGTTGCCAAAGGTGCTTCAACAAAGTACTGAGTAAAGGGTCTGAATACTTATGTAAATGTGATATTTCACAGTAGTTATACATTTGCAAACATTTCTAAAAACCTGTTTTCGCTTTGTCATTAAGGGGTATTGTGAGGGGTATTGTGGGGAGAACAAGTATTTGATACACTGCCGATTTTGCAGGTTTTTCTACTTACAAAGCATGTAGAGGTCTGTAATTTTTATCATAGGTACACTTCAACTGTGAGAGACGGAATCTAAACATTGTATGATTTTTAAGTAATTTATTTGCATGACATAAGTATTTGATCACCTATCAACCAGTAAGAATTCCGGCTCTCACAGACCTGTTAGTTTTTCTTTAAGAAGCCCTCCTGTTCTCCACTCATTACCTGTATTAACTGCACCTGTTTGAACTCGTTACCTGTATAAAAGACACCTGTCCACACACTCAATCAAACAGACTCCAACCTCTCCACAATGGCCAAGACCAGAGAGCTGTGTAAGGACATCAGGGATAAAATTGTAGACCTGCACAAGGCTGGGATGGGCTACAGGACAATAGGCAAGCAGCTTGGTGAGAAGGCAACAACTGTTGGCGCAATTATTAGAAAATGGAAGAAGTTCAAGATGACGGTCAATCACCCTCGGTCTGGGGCTCCATGCAAGATCTCACCTCGTGGGGCATCAATGATCATGAGGAAGGTGAGGGATCAGCCCAGAACTACACGGCAGGACCTGGTCAATGACCTGAAGAGCACTGGGACCTCAGTCTCAAAGAAAACCATTAGTAACACACTACGCCGTCATGGATTAAAATCCTGCAGCGCAAGCAAGGTCCCCCTGCTCAAGCCAGCGCATGTCCAGGCCCGTCTGAAGTTTGCCAATGACCATCTGGATGATCCAGAGGAGGAATGGGAGAAGGTAATGTGGTCTGATGAGACAAAAATAGAGCTTTTTGGTCTAAACTCCACTCGCCGTGTTTGGAGGAAGAAGAAGGATGAGTACAACCCCAAGAACACCATCCCAACCGTGAAGCATGGAGGTGGAAACATCATTCTTTGGGGATGCTTTTCTGCAAAGGGGACAGGACGACTGCACCGTATTGAGCGGAGGATGGATGGGGCCATGTATCGCGAGATCTTGGCCAACAACCTCCTTCCCTCAGTAAGAGCATTGAAGATGGGTCGTGGCTGGGTCTTCCAGCATGACAACGACCCGAAACACACAGCCAGGGCAACTAAGGAGTGGCTCCGTAAGAAGCATCTCAAGGTCCTGGAGTGGCCTAGCCAGTCTCCAGACCTGAATCCAATAGAACATCTTTGGAGGGAGCTGAAAGTCTGTATTGCCCAGCGACAGCCCCGAAACCTGAAGGATCTGGAGAAGGTCTGTATGGAGGAGAGGGCCAAAATCCCTGCTGCAGTGTGTGCAAACCTGGTCAAGACCTACAGGAAATGTATGATCTCTGTAATTGCAAACAAAGGTTTCTGTACCAAATATTAAATTCTGCTTTTCTGATGTATCAAATACTTATGTCATGCACTCAAATGCAAATTAATTACTTAAAAATCATACAATGTGATTTTCTGGATTTTTGTTTTAGATTCCGTCTCTCACAGTTGAAGTGTACCTATCATAAAAATTACAGACCTCTACATGCTTAGCAAGTAGGAAAACCTGCTAAATCGGCAGTGTATCAAATACTTGTTCTCCCCACTGTATTTACATTCACGACCACAATAATACATTTAATCATTAGAACCTGAGGTGGAATTTGCAATCAATTGAGGGCCACACAACCTCAATTACTTTATGACTTTTGATCAAAGCACAAAATTATTGAACTTCACAAATTAATATTGGAAATAATTGATCAAGTAATTGAGAAAGAAAAGTGAGGTGTCCCGTCAATCCATCAGGTTTGAATATCATTGACACATTGCAAACATCACACTAACGCTCGTAGAACATCACTAAGTCAGAGGACTGACGATGGGAGTAAATAAGGCCATACAGTGATGCTGTGAACACTTCACGGCATAGCCACGTTAGGCCATTTTGCCCAGTGGCATATTCCAAATATAAAAGGCTGGAGTTTAGGCATCATTCATTGTGAGGGACAGGGCCATTGAACATAAGCTAAACAAAAGCCTGACTAGAGAGAGTGTGAGAACAGGAGTGTTTGTGAAGCTAAGAGCATGTCTGGAAAGTGTGAACAAAGCGAGAGAAAAGATGCAACTACATCAGTCAGCATGTCAGTTTGTATTTCAACATAGAGTGTCTACTGCCTGGGACAATAAGGCACAATTTCAAATCTATCCTTCACTCCTATCCCTAGGGCTGTTGTTTAACAATTCGAAAAAGATTGGTGTCCATCTCGCCTGCAAGTGGGTTAGGTGGAGCTATTGAGAAGGCAAGGCAAAAGGGCCTAGGGATTGGGATGCCCCTACGACCCCCAATGTAAGGTTTATTTCATATCCAGGTTTGCTTTGACCTTGAACGCTCCACAATGTCCTGTCAGAATTGTTCCTTACAGTCAAGGGGACTGGAAACTATAGAAATATAATTAATAATGCCCCTCACACCACAGCAATTTAACTGGAACACTCACTGGAGCCCAGTACAGAACTTAATTTGAATGGGAATGTTTTAGTAATTCTCTAACTTTTTCCAGCTTGAGGCATCAACATGAATGGGAACAGCTTCACAGTCACGTGACCAAGGTTATGTTTCAAAACATTGACAACATTGTGCCCTACTGAACATTACACTGGTGTAATTTTCATTACCTTCTGCTGACAGGGTCCAAAAGCTGGGTGCGTCTTCAGTGAGCTTGGTGCCCGCTGGTAGCGATAGCACCAGCTCCAAATTGAGTGTCTGTCCTGGTGACACTGCCAGTGGTGGCATCTTCACCCTAGAAGCAGATTTGGGGAGCTTGGGGACTTTACAAGGCCCAGAGGACTTAGTTGGTGCAGAGTCTACCGCGTCCTCCACTGAAATGGGAAACTACAAGAGAGGGAGAGAAGAGAAACACTTTTCTTTGGTGTTTCTAAAAGAGAAGCTGTATTAAAAGAAACGATCCGAGTGACTTAGTCAAAGGAAAAGCAAGTCCCATAACATATATGGCTTTCCACTTGTTCTCTCTTTAAAAAAAAGCTTTTGAGCAGAGGTCAGATCATTTCAAACCAAAATGTTTTCGGGCAAACCGTACTTATTTAATATGAAGGCTACTGAACAGATAGATAAATGGTTATTAACACACACACACACACAATAATGCTCTTTCACCCCTCACCAGCGACACGGTCTTGGTGTCCAGGTCCAGGACTTTGAGATGGTGGTTGTTGGTGTCAGCTACATACAGCACCCTACCCCCATCCCCGACACATAGGCCACCAGGCTCATTGAAGCTGGATTCAGTCAACCCTGGCCCTAACACGTCACCAGCTTCCCCTGTCCCAGCCACAACCAGACACTGCCTGGTTTTTGGGTCCACCACTTTGATCTGAAACAAACACAAATACAGCAAGGCTAAGAGGGATTTGATTTGTGAGTACTCTATACAACCAGTCTAAACATACATGCACTCTGCCCTCAAGGCCTACTGTCTTTTCAAGAAGCAATCTCCAATCTCACAGCAGAGAATATGAAGGCTTTACATATGAATTGTCTATTGCCTGTTTCAGAGAAAACATCCAAGACACCCCACAAGCTGTTCCTCTTGATGACAATGTCACTGGATACTGATGTAAAACCACATGTCCATGAAATACAGTGTAAACATTAACACATTTTATAAAACATTTATTTGACAGTCATACTCTGAAAAACAGACCTTGTGGTTGTAGGAGTCCGCCACATAGAGGAGGCCTTGGTCAGGAGCCCAGGCCACACCGAGAGGGTGCTGGAGCTTTGCGTCCACTCCTTTTCCGTCCACATCCCCAAAGGCAAACAGGTTCTGTCCCCAAAAGACACCACATTAACAACATGAGTGAAGTTACATGCTTCAATTCATTTCAAAGCAACTTTAGTCATCCATCCATCTAGAGCAGGGGTGTCAAACATACGGCCCAATTGGAGGGGGGGGGGGGGAACTCAATATACTTTCAAATAACTCAAACCAAATCTAAACGGTGTAGGAAGGATAATGGACCAACATTCATATAGTTTCTTGACTGTGTCCAGCTCGCCTAAGAAATCACTGAAATGAAAGCTAGACAGGGAGCATAGAAAATTCACAAAACGATGGATAGAGGAAATGTTGCTAATTTTCAGTGTGGCCCTCGTTGAAGAGTGAATGCGGCTCCTGGGGCAAACTTTGCTTGGCACCCCTGATTTAGGGCCAATTTCGACTCAGTAGCCTTGCCATTGGTCAAAGTATTAGGTATCTGAACTGAGTCAACTATTTGTTAAATGAAGCCTTCCGATTGGCCAGAGTATAAAGATTGACCTGATGATGAAGCGGTGCAATTGATTGTACTTCCAAGTGATACCACATTAAGATTTTCCCTGACGAATCATCACAAGTTTCTAAAGACAGATTACTCTCATAAATGTTTTTATACAATTTTTAAAAAACATTGAAAACAATGCTCTGCTTTAGGGTTAGTGCAGGGGTGTATTCATTGTGCACACCGTAGCAAACCTTTGCAAAATGTTTTACAACGAAAACGAGTGTTTCTTAAAAGGTCCAATACAGATGTTTTTATCTCAATATCAAATAGTTTCTAGGTAACAATTAAGTACCTTACTGTGATTGTTTTCAAATAAAATTGTCAAAAATAAACAAAAATAGCTTCTTAGCAAAGGGCAATTTCTCTAGCAAGAATTGGGCTAGGATTGTCACGGAGTGGTCTGAGTGGGGAGGGGAAAACTGAAAATGAGCTGTTATTGGCAGAGAGGTTTGGAACTCTTTCTTATTGGTAAATTAACTAATTTACCGCATGGTGATGTCACCATGGAAGGCCAAAACTCCTTCCCACCAAAACAGGCAGACATTTCAGGCAGTCTTTTCAGAAATATTATGCTTTTACAAAATGTTACGCTGTTTTCAAATTAAACACAATACCTTGCTCGTAAAGGGAGACCAAACCCGTTGCTGGCAGCAGTGCGATAAGGGACAGAGTGAGAAAATCACAGCGCTGATTACAGAAATGATTGCAGTTGATATGCAGCCATTGTCAATGGTAGGGTACGTCGGCTTCAATACCATAATTGCATATCTAGAACCAGAATACAAGATGCCATGTCGAAAAAACTGCGACGGCCCTGATGGAGAAATTGCTCTACAAGTACAAAGCGCGAGCTCTCAAACACAATACGTGGCTTCAACACAAAATTGGTAGTTAGCCAAATGGAGCTTACAGAGGATATTTTCAATGAGTGTATTTCGCACGTGAGATGTTTTTTGCCTGCGCCATGACAGCTACCGTTACAAGCTTTCAACCACTGACTGGTTGTGGCTATAATTAGCCTAACTATCTACGTCCGCATTGTGTACGTCTCTGTCATGCTTCCGAGGGTATCGTTTTTAAAGAGCACAATTCCCGCTCGCAAGCCCAAACTCGTGATTTGTTGGGACTGTTGTCTGTCTGAAGAACACCCTCCCCGGAATTGTTTTTCTCCCCTTTCAAAGGGGTCAAGATAATTCCACGTTCCCCAGACCTAGTGCTGTTGCCCTAGGTCTGGTATTTCCAAGACTACACTATAGCCCAGTGGTTCCCAACTCCAGTCCTTGAGTACCCCCCAAAAGCACACATTTTTGTTGTTGTTTTAAAAAACAGAAATACCTTATTTACATAAGTATTCAGACCCTTTGCTATGACACTCAAAATTGAGCTCAAGTGCATCCTGTTTCCATTGATCATCCTTGAGATGTTTCTACAACTTGATTGGAGTCCACCTGTGGTAAATTCAATTGATTGGACATGATTTGGAAAGGCACACACCTGTCTATATAAGGTTTTACAGTTGACAGTGCATGTCAAAGCAAAAACCAAGCCATGAGGTCAAAGGAATTGTCCGTAGAGCTCTGAGACAGGATTGTGTCGAGGCACAGATCTGGGGAAGGGTACCAAAAACATTCTGCAGCATTGAAGGTCCCCAAGAACCCAGTGGCCTCCATCATTTTTAAATGGAAGAAATTTGGAACCACCAAGATTCTTCCTAGAGCTGGCCGCAATCGGGGGAGAAGGGCCTTGGTCAGGGAGGTGACCAAGAACCCGATGGTCATTCTGACAGAGCTCCAGAGTTCCTCTGTGGAGATGGTTGTCCTTCTGGAAGGTTTTCCCATCTCTGCAGCACTCCACCAAATCAGGCCTTTATGTTAGAGTGGCCAGACGGAAGCCACTCCTCAGTAAAAGGCACATGACAGCCCGCTCAGTAAAAGGCACCTAAAGGACTCTCAGACCATGAGAAACAAGATTCTCTTGTCTGATGAAACCAAGATTGAAGTCTTTGGCCTGAATGCCAAGCGTCACATCTGGAGGAAACCAGGCACCGCTCATCACCTGGCCAATACCATCCCTACGGTGAAGCATGGTGTTGGCAGCATCATGCTGTGGGGATGTTTTTCATTGGCAGGGACTGGGAGACTAGTCAGGATCGAGGGAAAGATGAACGGAGCAAAGTACAGAGAGATCCTTGATAAAAACCTGCTCCAGAACGCTCAGGAGCTCAGACTGGGGGCGAAGGTTCACCTTCCAACAGGACAACGATCCTAAGCACACAGCCAAGACAACACAGGAGTGGCTTCAGGACAAGTCTCTGAATGTCCTTGAGTGGCCCAGCCAGAGCCCGGACTTGAACCCAATCGAACATCTCTGGAGAGACCTAAAAATAGCTGTGCAGCTACGCTCCCCATCCAACCTGACAGAGCTTGAGAGGATCTGCAGAGAAGAATGGGAGAAACTCCCCAAATACATGTGTGCCAAGCTTGTAGCATCATACCCAAGAAGACTCAAGGCTGTAATCGCTGTCAAAGGTACTTCAAAAAATTACTGAGTAAAGGGTCTGAATATTTAAGTAAATGTGATATACATTTTCCATTTTTTTATACATTTGCAAACATTTGCAAACATTTCTACAAACCTGTATACCCCTTTGAGCATGGTGAAGTTATTAATTATACTTTGGGTGGTGTATCAATACGCCTCATCTCTGTACCCCTCTGCACATATAAATCTGTAAGGCCCTTCATTCGAGCAGAGAATTTTAAACACAGATTCATCCACAAAGACCAGGGAGGTTTTCCCATGCCTCACAAAGAACGGCACCTATTGGTAGATTGGTAAAAAAACAGACATTGAATATCCCTCTGAGCATGGTGAAGTTATTAATTACACTTTGGATGGTGTAGCAATACACTCAGTCATATACAGTGCCTTCAGAATGTATTCACAACCCTTGACTTTTTCCACATTTTGTTGTTACAACCTGAATTTAAAATGGATTAAATTGACATGTATTGTCACTGGCCTACACACACACACACACACACACACACAAATACCCCATAATGTCAAAGTGGAATTATGTTTTTCAAAATTAATTAAAAATGAAAAACCAAAATGTCTTGAGTCAATAAGTATTCAACCTCTGTTATGGCAAGCCTAAATACGTTTATGAGTAAAATATTTTCTTAAGTCACATAATACGTTCCATGGACTGTGTGCAATAACAGTGTTTAACATAATTTTTTAATGACTGCCTCATCTCTGTACCCCACACATATAATTATCTGTAAGGCACTTCATTCAAGCAGAGAATTTTTAACACAGATTCATCCACAAAGACCAGGGAGGTTTTCCCATGCCTCACAAAGAACGGCACATTTTGGTAGATGGGTAAATAAACAGACATTGAATGTCTATCTGAACATAGTGAAGTTATTATTTACACTTTGGATGGTGTATCAATACACCCAGTCACTACAACGATACAGCCGTCCTTCCTAACTCAGTTGCCGGAGAGGAAGGAAACCGCTCAGGGATTTTACCATGAGGCCAATGGTGACTTTAAATCAGTTACAGAGTTTAATGGCTGTGATAGAAGAAAACGGAGGATGGATCAACAACATTGTAGTTACTCCACAATACTAACTTAATTGACAGAGTGAAAAGAAGGAACCCTGTAAAGAATACAAATATTCCAAAAGTGTTATGTTTGGGGCAAATCCAATACAACACATTACTGAGTACCACTCTCCATATTTTCAAGCACGGTGGTGGCTGCATCATGTTATGTGTATGCTTGTAATCATTAAGGACTGGGGAGTTTTTTTTTTCCTAGAGGAAATCCTGTATCAGTCTGCTTTCCACCAGACATTGAGAGAAGAATTCACCTTCCAGCAGGGCAATAACCTTAAACACAAGGCCAAATCTACACTGGAGTTGCTTACCAAGAAGACAGTGAATGTTCCTGAGTGGCAGAGTTAGAGTTTTGACTTAAATCTGTTTGAAAATCCACGGCAAGACCTGGAAACGGTTGTCTAGCAATGATCAACAACCAATTTGACAGCTTTAAGAATTTTGAAAAGAATAATGGGCAAATGTCGCACAATCCAAGTGTGCAAAGCTCTTAGAGACTTACCCAGAAAGACTCACTGCTGTAATTGCTGCCGAAGGTGCTTCTACAGAGTACTGACTCAGGGGTGTAAATAATTATGTAAATTAGATATTTCAGTATTTCATTTTCAATACATTTGCAAACATTTCTAAAAACATGTTTTCATTTAGGTATTATGGGGTATTGTGTGTAGATGGGTGAGAGAAAAAAAATATTTTGGAATTCAGCTTGTAACAAAATGTGGAATTAGTCAAGGGGTATGACTACTTTAAGTCACTACGTCGTTCTTATTATTAAGCTGACAAACACTGATTAACATCATTACAATTTATGTAAATGATTAAATCCAATTTATTTTCATCTTCTGCTTCAGAAAAAAAAAGCGACGCAACAAAGAAATCATATTGGTTTGACTGCAATGCAATTTGGGGAATTTAAATAAACAGCCATATCTCCTTGTCAGCATGCTCAATAAATCAAAATGATTGGATAACATTCCCATTATAAAACGTTTCAAAAGGTTTGGAAACTTCCCACGATTGTCAACTAAACTCGTAACAAATGTTACATGGCGCTAGTAATGCTTTTCAAATCTTGTCACGACAAATGCTGTCCTGTTTCAGGTAATGTAACATGATCTGGTATCAGCCTAATATGGTCAGTGACAAAACAGCTCCACTGGAAACAAGAGGGTCTATCCTATGAATTGAGATAAAAATGTACAGCGGATTCCTTTTGGGTTGCAACTACATTGATTTTAATTTTGGATTAATGAGCAAAAAAACAACACACACAACCCAGTGTCACAATCCTTGACGCTCAGAAATACCTCTATGAATAAGTAGAGGTTACCCCATAGATATAGAACACTATTGTTCTTGCTATATTGTCTATAGGTTACCCCTAAACTATGATACAGGTTCAGATATTTTTTCCTCCTCCTAAGGGTTAGGGTTAAGATTGGGGTTATGGTAATGTGATTCTAGATGTGTGGTTAGGGGTATATTTGACCTTGAGCCACCCACTACCCCCGCCCCCTTACTGTCCCATCACCGGACTGACTCACCAGGGGGTCTCTCTCGCCCCCCACCAGCAGTTTGACGGCGCCATCCTTCAGCGCCAGGGAGCGCACAGTGCTGCTCTCGCTGTCGGCCACGTACAGGCACCCCCAGGGCTCCTCCGGAGCGGGGGCCAGGCCCGAGGGCTGGGCAAAGCCTGCCTTGTGGGGGTAGGCGTTGTTGCGATTCTCCTCGTTGCCACTGCCGGCGAAGCGCACACACATCCCCGCTTTGGACTCGCTGAAGGGAGTTGTTATGTTGTTAATATTATCATCTATGTGTATGTAGCCTGTGTGATCCAGTGGTTAGTTCCGCGGAACCTGGCACACATGTATACCAGCCGGCATGGGTTCTAATCTGACCCATGCCCTTCTGACTCATAATATCACCTAACTCCTCTTCACTGTCCCATCTCAATGAATAAATAAAACCCTCCAAAATATTTAAAATAAAATGATCATCCATTACAGCATTGGATGCAAATTGATAGGCACTACAGCTTACAGTCAAATCTATGGAATGGTGAAATATCACAACATTGGTCTGTAAACCAGTCCTAGCCCCAGGAGCCCCTTCACCGTTTGATCCTAAGGAACTGGATTGGTGTACGTAAGCAATATGGTGCAAGCTCCCCTGACAGTGGATCTGTCACATTATTGGGTTCTCGTTCAGATTTGAAAACACCAAAGGGGTAGATAGAAGCTAGTAGCCTAGTTGATTCTAGACTGAATATATGAAAGAACAACATTATCTGGCCCTGAAACAGTTGCCAGTGCACAAAGTAATTATATGCCAGCCGCTCACCTTCCTTTAGGCAGCTTCCCATTGGCCAGGAACAGAGCCCAGATCTGGTGTGTCCCTGCCATGGCCACCCACAGCACGTTATCCTCCTCACCGCCTGGAAAGTAACACAGAAATACCCCTTTCACACTACTGAGCGAGCCGAATCGAGCGAAGCCGAGCTATACTGTACTGCTCTGGCCTGATCATACATCCACCATAGTTGCTGGAACCGTGCTGGAAAGGACAAGGTGACCGGAAAATAACCAAGACTAACACAGTACAGTTCAGGTTGGCACAATAGTGTGAAAATGGTATGACCTGTTCTGATACTTCACAAAATGCATCCTACCCTCCTCCCTTGAAGTAATCACAAATCTGAATTGGGTGGATTGGCGGAAGCAATAGGGTGGTAACCTTTCTTTCCCAGATCCATTGACTTGATCTGAGATTATCTCAAATAACCAGGAAGGACAGATAGATTTTTTAAGTATTGAGGGCATATACAGTGGGGAGAACAAGTATTTGATACACTGCCGATTTTGCACGTTGTCCTACTTACAAAGAATGTAGAGGTCTGTAATTTTTTATCATAGGTACACTTCAACTGTGAGAGACGGAATCTAAAACAAAAATCCAGAAAATCACATTGTATGATTTTTAAGTAATTCATTTGCATTTTATTGCATGACATAAGTATTTGATACATCAGAAAAGCGGAACTTAATATTTGGTACAGAAACCTTTGTTTGCAATTACAGAGATCATACGTTTCCTGTATGTCTTGACCAGGTTTGCACACACTGCAGCAGGGATTTTGTCCCACTCCTCCATACAGACCTTCTCCAGATCCTTCAGGTTTCGGGGCTGTCGCTGGGCAATACGGACTTTCAGCTCCCTCCAAAGATGTTCTATTGGATTCAGGTCTGGAGACCGGCTAGGCCACTCCAGGACCTTGAGATGCTTCTTACGGAGCCACTCCTTAGTTGCCCTGGCTGTGTGTTTCGGGTCGTTGTCATGCTGGAAGACCCAGCCACGACCCATCTTCATTGCTCTTACTGAGGGAAGGAGGTTGTTGGCCAAGATCTCGCAATACATGGCCCCATCCATCCTCTCCTCAATACGGTGCAGTCGTTCTGTCCCCTTTGCAGAAAAGTATCCCCAAAGAATGATGTTTCCACCTCCATGCTTCACGGTTGGGATGGTGTTCTTGGGGTTGTATTCATCCTTCTTCTTGCTCCAAACACGGCGAGTGGAGTTTAGACCAAAAAGCTCTATTTTTGTCTCATCAGACCACATGACCTTCTCCTATTCCTCCTCTGGATCATCCAGATGGTCATTGGCAAACTTCAGACGGGCCTGGACATGCGCTGGCTTGAGAAGGGGAACCTTGCGTGCGCTGCAGGATTTTAATCCATGACGGCGTAATGTGTTACTAAGGGTTTTCTTTGAGATTGTGGTCCCAGCTCTCTTCAGGTCATTGACCAGGTCCTGCTGTGTAGTTCTGGGCTGATCCCTCACCTTCCTCATAATCATTGATGCCCCACGAGGTGAGATCTTGCATGGAGCCCCAGACCGAGGGTGATTGACCATCATCTTGAACTTATTCCATTTTCTAATAATTGCGCCAACAGTTGTTGCCTTCTCACCAAGCTGCTTGCCTATTGTCCTGTAGCCCATCCCAGCCTTGTGCAGGTCTACAATTTTATCCCTGATGTCCTTATACAGCTCTCTGGTCTTGGCCATTGTGGAGAGTTTGGAGTCTGTTTGATTGAGTGTGTGGACAGGTATCTTTTATACAGGTAACGAGTTCAAACAGGTGCAGTTAATACAGGTAATGAGTGGAGAACAGGAGGGCTTCTTAAAGAAAAACTAACAGGTCTGTGAGAGCCGGAATTCTTACTGGTTGGTAGGTGATCAAATACTTATGTCATGCAATTAAATGCAAATTAATTACTTAAATATCATACAATGTGATTTTCTGGATTTTTGTTTTAGATTCCGTCTCTCACAGTTGAAGTGTACCTATGATAAAAATTACAGACCTCTACATGCTTCGTAAGTAGGAAAACCTGCAAAATCGGCAGTGTATCAAATACTTGTTCTCCCCACTGTACTAGGGCCATACACTTGAACGCTTTAGATCTGCAACTAAACATTTTGAGTACACAGGACCCAAATATTTCAGAGCTCGTACAGATGCTTGGAGTCATTGGGTAAAATAAAGCCTTCTATGCTTTATATTCAAGCAAGGACGCAAAACACCCCATCTATACTGACATACTACCCATAACAGCTTAAACAGAGTAATATTTTGCTAGCAAATCTCGATGGGGTCAATTTCACGCCTTAAGCATTGAATTCAAAATGAAACAAATCGTAAACATGTAAAATAAAGTTGAAAATGTAAAAATATATTTAAATCTGTTTTTTTTAAATCTAATTTTACTGCTTGCATCAGTTACTTGATGTGGAATAGAGTTCCATGTAGTCATGGCTCTATGTAGTACTGTGTGCCTCCCATAGTCTGTTCTGGACTTGGGGACTGTGAAGAGACCTCTGGTGGCATGTCTTGTGGGGTACGCATGGGTGACCGAGCTGTGCGCCAGTAGTTCAAACAGACAGCTCGGTGCATTCAACATGTCCATACCTCTAATAAATACAAGTAGTGATGAAGTTAATCTCTCCTCCACTTTGCGCTAGGAGAGATTGACATGCATATTATTAATATTAGCTCTCTGTGTACATCCAAAGGCCAGCCGTGCTGCCCTGATCTGAGCCAATTGCAATTTTCCTAAGTCCTTTTTTGTGGCACCTGACCACAACACTGAACAGTAGTCCAGGTGCGTCAAAACTAGGGCCTGTAGGACCTGCCTTGTTGATAGTGCTGTTAAGAAGGTAGAGCAGCACTTTATTATGGACAGACTTCGCCCCATCTTAGCTAATGTTGTATCAATATGTTTTGACCATGACAGTTTACAATCCAGGGTTACTCCAAGCAGTTTAGTCACCTCTACTTGCTCAATTTCCATATTATTTATTACAAGGTTTAGTTGAGGTTTAGGGTTTAGTGAATGATTTGTCCCAAATACAATACTTTTAGTTTTAGAAATAGGACATCTACTACTTAGTAATTTTTCCAACAATTGTTTACAGACAGATTATTTCACTTATAATTCACTGTATCACAATTCCAGTGGGTCAGAAGTTTACATACACTAAGTTGACTGTGCCTTTAAAAAGCTTGGAAAATTCCAGAAAATGATGTCATGGCTTTAGAAGCTTCTGATAGGCTAATTGACATCATTTGAGTCAATTGGAGGTCTACCTGTGGATGTATTTCAAGGCCTACCTTAAAACGTATTGTCTCTTTGCTTGACATCATGGGAAAATCAAAAGAAATCAGCCAAGACCTCAGAATGTTGTAGACCTCCACAAGTCTGGTTCATCCTTGGGAGCAATTTCCAAAACGCCTGAAGGTACCACATTCATCCGTACAAACAATAGTACGCCAGTATAAACACCATGGGACCACGCAGCCGTCATACCGCTCAGGAAGGAGACGCGTTCTGTCTCCTAGAGATGAACGAACTTTGGTGCGAAAAGTGCAGAACAACAGCAAAGGACCTTGTGAAGATGTTGGAGGAAACAGGTACAAAAGTATCTATATCCACAGTAAAACAAGTCCTATATCGACATAACCTGAAAGGCCGCTCAGCAAGGAAGAAGCCACTGCTCCAAAACCGCCATAAAAAAGCCAGACTACGGTTTTCAACTGCACATGGGGACAAAGATCGTACTTTTTGGAGAAATGTCCTCTGGTCTGATGAAACAAAAATAGAACTATTTGGCCATTATGACCATTGTTATGTTTGGAGGAAAAAGGGGGCTGCTTGCAAGCCGAAGAACATCATCCCAACAGTGAAACACAGGGGGTGGCAGCATCATGCTGTGGGGGTGCTTTGCTGCAGGAGGGACTGGTGCACTTCACAAAATAGATGGCATCATGAGGAAGGAAAATTATGTGAATATATTGAAGCAACATCTCAAGACATCAGTCAGGAAGCTAAAGCTTGGTCGCAAATGGGTCTTCCAAATGGACAATGACCCAAAGCATACTTCCAAAGTTGTGTCAAAATGGCTTAAGGACAACAAAGTCAAAGTATTGGAGTGGCCATCACAAAGCCCTGACCTCAATCCTATAGAAAATGTGTGGGCAAAACTGAAAAAGCATGTGCGAGCAAGGAGGCCTACAAACCTGTCTCAGTTACACCAGCTCTGTCAGGAGGAATGGACCAAAATTCACCCAACTTATTGTGGGAAGCTTGTGGAATGCTACCCGAAACATTTGACCCAAGTTAAACAATTTAAAGGCAATGCTACCAAATACTAATTGAGTGTATGTAAACGTCTGACCCGCTGGGAATGTGATGAAAGAAATAAAAGCTGAAATAAATAATTATCTCTACTATTATTCTGACATTTCACATTCTTAAAATAAAGTGGTGATCCTAACTGACCTAAGACAGGGAATTTTTACTAGGATTAAATGTCAGGAATTGTGAAAAACTGAGTTTAAATGTATTTGGCTAAGGTGTATGTAAACTTCCAACTTCAACTGTAGCTGTCATGTACCTCCATTATAATCACTGCCAAGTGGCATACAGCTAAACCGGTTGACTGTGAGTCTTCGTGACACAGAAAGTGGGTTCGAGGACCCCTCGCTTCATGCTTTTTTGTTAAGGAAAAAACTGTTCACTGCTGGTCGTCGATGCGCGATTCAAATAACACAATGCATATGAAATGTAGTACATGTAAGTGTAACAGATAGACAAAAAACTGAATTTATTATGTAGGCTAACAGTAACATTATACTATGCTATTATATTCGGTATGTTAGGCCTATGTAGAATACTAATGAATCATTAAGTGATATTGCGAGACATTGATTCAGTTTTGATCTAAACTTGATTAAACAAGCACCATTCTAAGAAGTGGTGGGGCGTCGCTCCGGTGCGCTCCGGCAGCACTAACGTTAACCTGTAGCAATAGCCTGTGTCGGTCTGTAAGAGGGACTCAAAGAAACTCCTCATGAAATATATTTGTTTTGGCTGCACTTCCTTTCGCAACACACTATCAAAACAAATATAATTGTACATTTCAAAGGAAAAAACTATATCTCACCTGGGTTTCGAACTTGCCGCAAAAGGCGAAAAGTACCAGGAAGCAGGCTGTGAGCTATTGGCTCAGTTGAAATTTGGCGCGCTTTAGTAACTTTGAATAGCATATCGTGCCGTTTGACTTCTGATAAGGCCGTTTTCATTAAAAGGTATTTGATCACGTCCACATTTGTAATTGAATGATGCAGAATTTGTTACCAGATATAATCACTGTCACCTGGTCAGGTTAGCATAAGGCTAAATGTGCCAGGTTATGTAATGGGAACAGCTAACGTAACGTTTTATCACGTGCAAATACGTCCAATGATTGTGATTGGTTGATGTGCATTTTGAGACAGAAAAAAAGTTTAAACTTTTCCTGATGTTCGCAAGTATAGACCCAGTGGGTCTGGGGCTGTTGGAACCGAATCTGTTGTATTCAATTTGGTACTTAGTCACCCCAAACTGGATAAATTTAAATCAATTTTAAGTGGAGACCTACCAGTAAGTTGGCTCTAGACTTACCTGCAGTCCCAAGGGCCACGTCCCAGGGTGAGCTGATAGGCTGCTGGGGTCCCATGGCCCCTCCCTCCTTGTCTGTGCCTTGAAATCCCACTCCTGCCAGGGTGCTGACTTGCCCCTCCAACAAGTCAATCTGAGAGCGAGAGTGAGCGAGAGATTGGGCATTAATAAAGATTAAAGAATCTGAGGTGGTTATATTTTGAAGTACTTAGGATCCCTTAGGCTGCGTTTACACAAGCACCCCAATTGTGATCTTTTGCCACTTATTCGTCTTTTGACCAATCAGATCAGATCTTTTGCCAATAATAATTACCTTTCTGATCAGGTGGTTTTCAGTGTCGGCCACAAAGACAGTATCTCCTTTGATGACAACCCCCTGTGGGGAGCAGAAGGTTGCTTCGTCGAGATTACCATCTTTCCTACCGCTCTCGGGCCCTGTGACATCACAGGATGACATGTATGGAAGACATCATTTGGGGTGCATGTCAATAGTCTAAAGAGGCCTTTTAAATTAGATTTTCTTCATTTGCATTGACCTGGGCAGGTTGGAGTACAGACCCTTGCCTCCTAGCTAACATACTATACATGCCATTACATTTCTATACAAATACAGCATCTGGATAAACTTGCATTGCCATCACATCTTTGATGGCCATCACGTTTCATTAGGTAGCAGTCTCTAGTAAAATACAAGGTTAATAAAATGCAACATTACCAATAAAGAGAGGCGAAGGTCGAGAGCCATGCGTCCCCCGAAACACGACCCTGTCAAGCCACACTGCTTCTTGACACACTGCTCGCTTAAACCGGAAGCCAGCCGCACCAATGTGTTGGAGGAAACACTGTACAACTGGCGACTGTGTCAGCGTGCATGCGCCCGGCCTGCCACAGGAGTCGCTAGAGCGCGATGGGACAAGGACATCCCGGCCGGCTAAACCCTCCCCATAACCCGGACGATGCTGGGCCAATTGTGCGCTGCCTCATGGGTCTCCCGGTCATGGCCGGCTGCGACACAGCCCGGGATCGAACCCGGGTCTGTAGTGACTACTCAAGCACTACGATGCAGTACCTTAGGACGGCTGTGCCACTCGAGAGGCCCAAAATATATTTTATATAATTTCTTTCCCGGAACCTCCTTGGGCCACTGAAATGCTCAGTCCTTTCTGTGTGGGTGTGGCAATACACATGTGTAGAACCCACCCCCTTAAAAAACAACAAAGGCACATGGTATTCCAATTTGTAAGTCGCTCTGGATAAGAGCGTCTGCTAAATGACGTAAATGTAAATGTAAATGTATTCAAACAATAGGTCACCAGAAGACGCAGACAGGTCCCAGAACAGCCTGATTGCATGGTGGATCATCCTGGCCTATACCCTGTCTTCCGTCTATTCATTCTTTGAAACAAACAACAATAGTGCGAAACAGGTACATGTCTGGAAAGCTTTTAAAGCATACATACGCAGAGTAATGATACAACGATCAGCTACTATTAAGAAACTAGATAAACAGCTCAAAACGCTGGAGGGGGAATATTGGTCCAATCCTAACAACATTTCTCTGGTAAATCTGATGAAAACCAAATATGAGCTGAATACTTTATTCAGTAATAAAGCTGAATATTCACTGTACAGGCTGAAACAGAAATGGTACGAATCAGGTGAAAAGGCAGGAAATCTGTTGGCCAGTCAATTAAAATCTAAAGAAACAGATCGGCAGGTAGGTCAAATCAGAAATAAGACAGGCAAGCTGATTACCAATCATAAAGAAATAAACTATATATTTTGAGACTTCTATCAGGAACTTTATACTTCAGACGGTCCTTTAGATATGCAGAAAGCAGAGGCATTCTTTCAGAATTTGAACCTTCCTAAACTAACAGAGGAAGACAGGAATTTGCTCGACCGCCCTATTACATTTACATTTTTAGTCATTTAGCAGATGCTCTTATCCAGAGCGACTTACAGGAGCAATTAGGGTTAAGTGCCTTGCTCAAGGGCACATTGACAGATTTTTCACCTAGTCGGCTCGGGGATTAGAACCAGCGACCTTTCGGTTACTGGCACAACGCTCTTACCCACTAAGCTACCTGCCGCTTTGGAGGAATTGACCAAAACTATAAGACAAGCACCCAGTGGTAAAACTCCAGGGTTGGATGGGATACCAAGTTGGACGGGATACCCAGTGATTTCTATAAAAGGTTTGCAGAGCAGCTTACCCCAGAAATATTGAAAACATTTAACACATCGATTGACACAGGTGAGCTCCCACCTTCTATGAGTGATGCAGTAATCACCCTAATCCTCAAAAAGGGAAAGGATCCCCATGAGTGTGGGAGCTACCGTCCAATTTCTTTGATAAATTGTGACGGAAAATTGTTTAGTAGGCCTGATTACCAACAATGACGAGACAGCCTACAGGTAGGAGGTGAGGGGCCTGGCGGAGTGGTGCCAGGAAAATAACCTCTCCCTCAACGTCAACAAAACAAAGGAGCTGATCGTGGACTTCAGGAGACAGAGAGAGCACGCCACCATTCACATCGACGGGACCGCAGTGGAGAAGGTGGAAAGCTTGAAGTTCCTTGGCATACACATCACTGACAATCTGCAATGTTCCACCCACACAGACAGTGTGGGGAATACGGCGCAACAGCGCCTCTTCAACCTCTGGAGGCTGAAGAAATGTGGCTTGTCCCCTCACAAACTTTTACAGATGCACAATTGAGAGCATCCTGTAGGAATGTATCATCGCCTGGTACGGCAACTGCACCGCCCGCAACCGCAGGGCTCTACGGAGGGTGGTGCGGTCTGCCCAACGCATCACCAGGGGCACACTGCCTGCCCTCCAGGACACCTACAGCACCCGATGTCACTGGAAAGCCAAAAAGATCATCAAGGACATCAACCACCCGAGCCACGGCCTGTTCACCCCGCTATCATCCAGAATCAGTACAGGTGCATCAAAGCTGGGACCGAGAGACTGAAAAACAGCTACTATGTCAAGGCCATTAGACTGTTAAATAGCCCTCACTAGCCGGCTACCACCCAGTTACTCAACCCTGCAACTTAAGAGGCTGCTGCCCTATGTACATAGACATGGAATCACTGGTCACTTTAAATGGAACGCTAGTCACTTTAATAATGTTTACATAATGTTTTACTCATTTCAACAAGTATTTGATACACTGCCGATTTTGCAGGTTTTCCTACTTACAAATAATGTAGAGGTCTGTAATTTTTATCATAGGTAAACTTCAACTGTGAGAGACGGAATCCAGAAAATCACATTGTATGATTTTTAAGTAATTAATTTACATTTTATTGCATGACATAAGTATTTGATCACCTACCAACCAGTAAGAATTCCGGCTCTCACAGACCTGTTAGTTTTTCTTTAAGAAGCCCTCCTGTTCTCCACTCATTACCTATATTAACTGCACCTGTTTGAACTCGTTACCTGTATAAAAGACACCTGTTCACACACTCAATCAAACAGACTCCAATCTCTCCACAATGGCCAAGACCAGAGAGCTGTGTAAGGACATTGGGGATAAAATTGTAGACCTGCACAAGGCTGGGATGGGCTACAGGACAATAGACAAGCAGCTTGGTGAGAAGGCAACAACTGTTGGCGCAATTATTAGAAAATGGAAGAAGTTCAAGATGACGGTCAATCACCCTCGGCTCCATGCAAGATCTCACCTCGTGGGGCATCAATGATCATGAGGAAGGTGAGGGATCAGCCCAGAACTACACGGCAGGACCTGGTCAATGACCTGAAGAGAGCTGGGACCACAGTATCAAAGAAAACCATTAGTAACACACTACGCCGTCAAGGATTAAAATCCTGCAGCGCACGCAAGGTCCCCCTGCTCAAGCCAGCGCATATCCAGGCCCGTCTGAAGTTTGCCAATGACCATCTGGATGATCCAGAGGAGGAATGGGAGAAGGTCATGTGGTCTGATGAGACATAAATAGAGCTTTTTAGTCTAAACTCCACTCGCCGTGTTTGGAGGAAGAAGAAGGATGAGTACAACCCCAAGAACACCATCCCAACCGTGAAGCATGGAGATGGAAACATCATTCTTTGGGGATGCTTTTCTGCAAAGGGGACAGGACGACTGCACCGTATTGAGGGGAGGATGGATGGGGCCATTTATCGCGAGATCTTGTAAGGGACGACTGCACCCTCAGTAAGAGCATTGAAGATGGGTCGTGGCTGGGTCTTCCAGCATGACAATGTCCTGAAACACACAGCCAGGGCAACTAAGGAGTGGCTCCGTAAGAAGCATCTCAAGGTCCTGGAGTGGCCTAGCCAGTCTCCAGACCTGAACCCAATAGAACATCTTTGGAGGGAGCTGAAAGTCCGTATTGCCCAGCGACAGCCCCGAAACCTGAAGGATCTGGAGAAGGTCTGTATGGAGGAGTGGGCTAAAATCCCTGCTGCAGTGTGTGCAAACCTGGTCAAGACCTACAGGAAACGTATGATCTCTGTAATTGCAAACAAAGGTTTCTGTACCAAATATGAAGTTCTGCTTTTCTGATGTATCATATACTTATGTCATGCAATAAAATGGAAATTAATTACTTAAAAATCATGCAATGTGATTTTCCGGATTTTTGTTTTAGATTCCGTCTCTCACTGTTGAAGTGTACCTATGATAAAAATTACAGACCTCTATATGCTTTGTAAGTAGGAAAACCTGCAAAATTGGCAGTGTATCAAATACTTGTTCTCCCCACTGTATATACTGTATTTTAGTCAATGCCACTCAGACATTGCTCGTCCTAATATTTACACTACCAGTCAAAAGTTAGGACACACCTACTCATTCAAGGGTTTTTCTTTATTTTTACTATTTTCTACTTTGTAGAATAATAGTGAAGACATCAAAATGATGAAATAACACATTTGGAATCATGTTGTAACCAAAGAAGTGTTAAACAAATCAAAATATATCTTAGATGTTAGATTCTTCAAAGTAGCCACCCTTTGCCTTGATGACAGTTTTGCACACTCTTGGCATTCTCTCAACCAGCTTCATGAGGAATGCTTTTCCAACAGTCTTGAAGGAGTTCCCACATATGCTGAGCACTTGTTGGCTGCTTTTCCTTCACTCTGCGGTCCAACTCATCCCAAACCATCTCAATTGGGTTGAGGTCGGGTGATTGTGGAGGCACCTCCATCACTCTCCTTCTTAGTAAAATAGCCCTTACACAGCTTGGAGGTGTGTTTTGGGTCATTGTCCTGTTGAAAAACAAATGATAGCCCCACTAGACACAAACCAGATGGGATGGCATATCGCTGAAGAATGCTGTGGTAGCCATGCTGGTTAAGTGTGCCTTGAATTCTAAATCAATCACTGACCGTGTCAACAGCAAAGCACCCCCACACCATCACACCTCCTCCTTCATGCTTCATGGTGGGAACCACACATGCAGAGATCATCCGTTCACCTACTCTGCATCTCACAAAGACACGGCGGTTGGAACCAAAAATCTCAAATTTGGACTCATCAGACCAAAGGACAGATTTCCACCGGTCTAATATCCATTGCTCGTGTGTCTTAGCCCAAGCAAATCTCTTCTTATTGGTGTCCTTTAGTAGTGGTTTCTTTGCAGCAATTCGACCACGCAGTCTCATCTGAACAGTTAATGTTGAGATGTGTCTGTTACTTGAACTCTGTGAAGCATTTATTTGGGCTGCAATCTGAGGTGCAGTTATTCTAAAGAACTTATCCTCTGCAGGTCTTCCTTTCCTGTGGCGGTCCTCTTGAGAGCCAGTTTCATCATAGCGCTTGATGGTTTTTGCAGCTGCACTTGAAGAAATGCTCAAATTTCTTGAAATGTTCCGGATTGACTGACCTTCTTGTCTTAAAGTAATGATGGATTGTCGTTTCTCTTTGCTTATTTGATATATATATAGACTTTGTCTTTTACCAAATAGGGCTATCTTCTGTATACCCCCCCCCTACCTTGTCACAACACAACTGATTGGCTCAAACGCATTAAGAAGGAAAGAAATTCCACAAATTAACAAGGCACACCTGTTAATTGAAATGCATTCCAGGTGACTACCTCATGAAACTGGTTGACAGAATGAGACGCATCAAATGCAAAAAAACGTATCTCTAGCTTAAACTGACGGATTTTGATGGTGATTTTTTTATTATGTTACGTAGATCGACTCTAGGGGGTTAACAATTGTTTAACAGTGCTCCATTTCTTATTCCTGCTTTCAAAGCAGGGGTTTAGGTGTTGTGTGACATAAAAAAATCGCCTTAATAGATTGGCTACATAAATATGTCTAAGATTCTTCTGACTCTCCACCTTTCAACTGGGTCAGAAAATACAGCATGTTCTATTCCCCACTGGCATGTTTAGATTTCTCCACCACAAGCTCTGTCAAGACTTAAGGCGATCATAGAATTAGAATGTGTAAAACGGGCATCCCCATTCATTTGATTTATTTTGAGGCGATGCTCCAGCCCTTACCTCCTATAGAGTACAGCACCTGCCCAATGCTGGACACCACCAGTACCCGATGATGGCCCGTATCTGCTATAGCCAGTCTCTTGCTACTGGAATCCACTGCTACCTTCCCGGGAAACGAAAGAAGCGATGGGGGCAGAGAGTCCCTGTAAAGCTTGGTCCCCACAAGGTGGTCACTAAGCAGGACCTGGTCCCCATAGTGTCGGAGGGAGGTGCTGGTGAAGAGCGCTAGGTGCTCGCGGTGACCCTCTCCCACCAGCGAGAAGAGCAGGTTGCCCCTGGGCCCAATGAGCACCAGGGTGGGCCAACAGGACACCTCCAGCTCATGCCACAGCCGAGCGTCTCCGTCATTCACCACCGGGTGGGTGATGTTGTAGCGGAGCACAGCGCTCTGCACGTTCTGCAGCACCTTGAACAGGAGGTAAAATCCATTCAACTCAGTAAAACATTTTATGGTTAATGGCATAGTTGACTTGAATTACAATATCACTTGCTGTTTCCATACACATACTTTGGATTTGTTTACCTACTTAGCTACCACCTCCAACGGCTAACATTTCAATATTATACAAATACGATTTTTCTACCATTCACTTTTATTGTTTTTGTTCAGTGCCAATGTTTGCGAATAGTACTTGTGACTACGCATACACACCCAGAGTGTGGATTGCAATCTGGCCTGGTCCTGTTCCAGAGTAGTTTCGAGGCAAGGAATTTTTAAAGTACCATGACTTAAATTGTGTGTAAACTATCCCTTTAATAATGGAAAAGATGTGCTGTGTGTTGCAATATTAATGAAGAACACAATTATTAAGATCACATTTCTTGAAATAGAATATGACAAGGGCTTACCTTTTCGTTGGGGAACTTGGCAGAGTGGACACCCACGATAACAAGCCCATCTTAAAAGAGAGAATGTGAAACAGAGGGAAAATAAAATCATATCAGGATTGGTCATGAACAGTTATATCCCTTTTATACCTAAACAAAATCCCGCAATCTTTACCATACCGCCTTTTCTTCATATCTGAAAGGTGTAGCCGGGAACTAACGCGGTACATTAAATTCCGCCAACAAAAGGTAGTCATGACTTCAGAATTTTCTATAAAGATTCCGCCAACGGCTCTGAAAACCGAACATTAAAAACATTTCGAGGCTTTGGGACAACGCTCAATTGTGAGCTAATCACAAAGCTTCACAGAAATGCTTTTAATGCATTTATTCTCTCCTTTTAAATGTATGTAGTTATGTCCTTGAGCTGTTCTTGTCTATTAATGTTCACTATTATGTAATGTTTTATGTTTTTTGTGGACCCCAGAAAGAAATTAATTTGTTCATCGCTTGATAATTTCACCAGTCTGCTGCTGCTATTAAAAAATCTGATGGTGAGGCCGTTTGTTAGTAAACTATCAATGTGCATAATATCTAACAAGCGGAGAGGGTAGGAAAAAAAGATGAAACATGGATATGCATTTTTTTTTAAACCAGAGAAGCGACATTTGATTTCAATACAAGATCGAAAAGAGCAGATTCTAAAGGGCTCTACACCGTCTACGCAACGGATAAGACCGAGGACTGTTTGCATACCTCTCTGCATAGTTCTACGTATTTTTGTGCGGCATACTTTTTTGCAACGCGACGCAAACGGAGCTCCCTGTTATATTCCATTATATATGTTTTACAGGTAACATTCCGTAAATTCTGTCTGAAATAGGTATTTAGTCAGCCAACAATTGTGCAAGTTCTCCCACTTAAAAAGATGAAAGAAGCCTGTAATTTTCATCATAGGTACACGTCAACTATGACAGACAAATTGAGAAAATAAATTCCAGAAAATCACATTGTAGGATTTTTTATGAATTTATTTGCAAATTATGGTGGAAAATAAGTATTTGGTCACCTACAAACAAGCAAGATTTCTGGCTCTCACAGACCTGTAACTTCTTCTTTAAGAGGCTCCTCTGTCCTCCACTCGTTACCTGTATTAATGGCACCTGTTTGAACTTGTTATTAGTATTAAAGACACCTGTCCACAACCTCAAACAGTCACACTCCAAACTCCACTATGGCCAAGACCAAAGAGCTGTCAAAGGACACCAGAAACAAAATTGTAGACCTGCACCAGGCTGGGAAGACTGAATCTGCAATAGGTAAGCAGCTTGGTTTGAAGAAATCAACTGTGGGAGCAATTATTAGGAAATGGAAGACGTACAAGACCACTGATAATCTCCCTCGATCTGGGGCTCCACGCAAGATCTCACCCCGTGGGAACAAATTGATCACAAGAACGGTGAGCAAAAATCCCAGAACCACACGGGGGACCTAGTGAATGACCTGCAGAGAACTGGGACAAAGCCTACCATCAGTAACACACTACGCCGCCAGGGACTCAAATCCTGCAGTGCCAGACGTGTCCCCCTGCTTAAGCCAGTACATGTCCAGGCCCGTCTGAAGTTTGCTAGAGTGCATTTGGATGATCCAGAAGAGGATTGGGAGAATGTCATATGGTGTATACAGTGAGGGAAAAAAGTATTTGATCCCCTGCTGATTTTGTACGTTTGCCCACTGACAAAGAAATTATCAGTCTATAATTTTAATGGTAGGTTTATTTGAACAGTGAGAGACAGAATAACAACAAAAAAATCCAGAAAAACGCATGTCAAAAATGTTATAAATTGATTTGCATTTTAATGAGGGAAATAAGTATTTGATCCCCTATCAATCAGAAAGATTTCTGGCTCCCAGGTGTCTTTTATACAGGTAAAGAGCTGAGATTAGGAGCACACTCTTAAAGGGAGTGCTCCTATTCTCAGCTTGTTACCTGTATAAAAGACACCTGTCCACAGAAGCAATCAATCAATCAGATTCCAAACTCTCCACCATGCCCAAGATCAAAGAGCTCTCCAAGGATGTCAGGGACAAGATTGTAGACCTACACAAGGCTGGAATGGGCTACAAGACCATCGCCGAGCAGCTTGGTGAGAAGGTGACAACAGTTGGTGCGATTATTCGCAAATGGAAGAAACAAAATAACTGTCAATCTCCCTTGGCCTGGGGCTCCATGCAAGATCTCACCTTGTGGAGTTGCAAAGATCATGAGAACGGTGAGGAATCAGCCCAGAACTACACGGGAGGATCTTGTCAATGATCTCAAGGCAGTTGGGACCATAGTCACCAAGAAAACAATTGGTAACACACTACGCCGTGAAGGACTGAAATCCTGCAGCGCCCGCAAGGTCCCCCTGCTCAAGAAAGCACATATACAGGGCCGTCTGAAGTTTGCCCATGAACATCTGAAAGATTCAGAGGATTACTGTGTGAAAGTGTTGTGGTCAGATGAGACCAAAATCGAGCTCTTTGGCATCAACTCAACTCGCCGTGTTTGGAGGAGGAGGAATGCTGCCTATGACCCCAAGAACACCATCCCCACCGTCAAACATGGAGGAGGATACATTATGCTATGGGGGTGTTTTTCTGCTAAGGGGACAGGACAACTTCACCGCATCAAAGGGACGATGGACGGGGCCTTGTACCGTCAAATCTTGGGTGAGAACCTCCTTCCCTCAGCCAGGGCATTGAAAATGGGTCGTGGATGGGTATTCCAGCATGACAATGACCCAAAACACACGGCCAAGGCAACAAAGGAGTGGCTCAAGAAGAAGCACATTAAGGTCCTGGAGTGGCCTAGCCAGTCTCCAGACCTTAATCCCATAGAAAATCCATGGAGGGAGCTAAAGGTTCGAGTTGCCAAACGTCAGCCTCAAAACCTTAATGACTTGGAGAAGATCTGCAAAGAGGAGTGGAACAAAATCCCTCCTGAGATGTGTGCAAACCTGGTGGCCAACTACAAGAAACGTCTGACCTCTGTGATTGCCAACAAGGGTTTTGCCACTAAGTACTAAGTCATGTTTTGCAGAGGGGTCAAATACTTATTTCTCTCATTAAAATGCAAATCAATGTATAAAATTTTTGACATGCGTTTTTCTGGATTATTCTGTTGTTATTCTGTCTCTCACTGTTCAATTAAACCTACCGTTAAAATTATAGACTGATCTTGTCTTTGTCAGTGGGCAAACGTACAAAATCAGCATGGGATCAAATACTTTTTTACCTCACTGTATATGTATATTTTCAGTAACAAAAAGGTACAAGCTTCATGCTCTTGTCAGTTCACGTTACAATTAATTTAGTCTGTCATATGTAGTTCGTCTCAGCAACTACTACCGTGGCAACTTGTTTTTATATTTTTTTTATTGCTTTGGTGCAATTTTCACAAGTATGTGGTACATTTTCACAACTCTTAACACAAACTTGAAACAGATCATCAAAAAGGCAGTTGTTTCAAAACTCTAAGCACATTTTCAATTGACTGCGTACAACACACAAAATCATAGTCACTTTTTCCCCAAAGTTAATCAGTGTTTCATTTAGAAATACGTTTCACATTGCAATACGGTCCGTGTACGTTTTAGCCAATGAATATTACAAGGTAAAAAACTAGTAGATGGTCGAACCTTGTTTATTTGAGTTGAATCTGAAATCAAACAACAAACAGTTTGCGTTGTTGTTTTCAGTGTCTAAAACAAATATTGAATAACGAGAAACTGAATAATGATTTGATTATTCAAATGTATTTCCGATTTCTGGTTTTGGTTCAACCTGCGCACTGTACGTTTTGGCCAATTAATATTCGGCTTCTTGACAACACAGAAAATGATAAATGGGTCGTTCTTCATATTTTTGATCTGCATATGAAATTGAATAAACAGATAAATGTCATTTATTAACTTTTTTTGTTTCTCATTCCAATGATTTGATGATTGACAGTCACTGTAGTGGGTCACGTGACCAGTTCAAATTGGCCTAGGTCAATGAGACAGCCACTTCCACAACTTTTACAACCTTATGCACTTGTAACTTGTAGCCTATGCATATTATTGCATTTTGCACACATCCAGCCTATACTGTCCATTGCTTATAATATCCATTGATTAGCCTATTAATTTTTTTATTGTGTAGGCTATGCTGTAAAATGAATCTAATCTAATCACTATATACTGAGTCAAAGAGATGGACAATTCTGAATTTTTTGTGACAAAACGGACCACGGATCGAAAGAATGCACAAAGCGGACTATACAAGAAAGACGCGACAGACTCAGACAACAACAAAGATGTTTAGTGTGCTTAGGAACAAGGCACATAGCAAAGTACTGTCATGTGAGAAGTGTGGCAGACATCACCACAAGGCCATATGTGAGTAATGAGAATAAGAGAGGAAAGGGCGAACATAACCTACCCACTGACGCAGTGATCTCTGTCTCAAAGTAATTCCAATAGAAATAAAGTACTGTTACAGACAATTACAGTATGGATACAGACACCAGTCAAGAGACCATTAAATCGTTCTCAATTAGATGGGGGTAGCCAGCGTAGTTTTATCTGTCAAGATATCTCTCATACAATGAAATTACCAGTTAGAGGTCAGTCAAATGTCACAAGTATGCACTTCAATCATGAAGGTGGCAGGAGAAGAATTATGCACAGAAATTGGAGGGTAAAGGTCTATACAGCCAAGAGTGACGCAATAATTGGGAATACTCATTGGGTGACCACTGCTGTTAAGTACTGGTGTCGGAGAAAATCAACAGAGTAATTGTGCAACATTTGCCCATTCTTTTCATAATTCTTGACCTTCCAACTTCTGTAACTCAGCTATAGTCTCTTGCATATTCATAAATAATCTCTATATCAGTAAACATTTTAATAGGCTAATTAATATGGTTCGCATGTGATGTGTATATAATATGCATATACCTGTATATGAAATATTACCCCACTACAGTAGATAGTGACCCTGACGTGATATACAGTGCCTTCAGAAAGTATTCATACCCCTTGACTTATTCCAGAGTTTGTTGTTACAGCCTGAATTCAAATTGGTTCAAATGATTTTTTTCTGTCACCCATCTACACACAATACCCCATAATGACAAAGTGAAAACATATTTTTAGAAATGTTTGCAAATGTATTGAAAATGAAATACAGAAATATCTCATTTAAATAAGTATTTCACACCACTGAGTCAATACTTTGTAGAAGCACCTTTGGCAACTATT